GGCTGGGTGTGATTGTGAAGCGCCGGGGGGGGGGGCGGGGGGGGGGGGGGGGGAGGTGTGGGGGGGGCTGCTTGTTCTCCCCTGTCTCTTCCACAGCCAATAAAAAAATAAAGAAATAAATAAAAAGTGAATGTACATAAACACAGTCTTATTTGTCCTCCAGTCACTTTGTGAAATCTTTATTCTGACGAACATATCTTCATCTGTCCACGCACACACACCCCCCCTCCACCCTAACCCCCCCACCTTTCAAATGTGAGCCTGGTGAGCCTGGCTGGAAGGAATGGCAATAAAGGTGTTGGTGAAGGATCGATGTAGAACGTATTAAGCAGCCGCAGCGAGACCTCACTTCAATAATAAAAGAATTGGTCCTTTAAAGTGAAGCTTATTCTCAGCATGGAGAAGAGAAGCAGCCGGGTCCATTCCAACGGTGGCCGGGGCCAGATGGAGGATCAGCACGCACACACACACACACACACACACACACACCAAAGTTCACCTCGTATCTCGAACCCATTTGAGATTCAATTACACAATTACTGTGGGATTCTTGTTGGAATGCATGAATTATGGAGGAGCGTGTTCAATATTACACAGCATATGGTGCAACAAAATCAAGTGCAGTCGCTTAGGCTATGTCTTCTCCTCTTCTTCTTTTTTTTTTTTTTGTATCCTAAAGTGTTAGAGGTGGTGAGAAGAAGAGAAAACACTTGAAGTGAGGTAGCAGGTTTATTTGTGGGACGGATGAAGAACACGTTGGGGTGTTTTTTTGTTTTTTGTTTTTTTATCTAGTGTTTGTTTCTTCAAAGTGTGAGATCAGACCTGGTTATTGTCACGGCTGATTAAACTTCTACTGTATCTGAATCTGCGATGCCTTCATAAGGTCTGCTTCATTTTTGATCTGGAGAAAATCCCATCGTTTTCAGGCTGGGAAACAATTATGTTTGTAAATCACTGATTTTCAGATCATTCAGATTTTGTAACATCCTGTCCCTAAAATTAATCCTAAACTAAGAACACTAATCATCAAATTAAGTTCAAATTACTGTTTCTTTTAAATGGACTTTGGTTTAAGAAACTGAGCAGATATTTCTTTCACCAAATGCCGTCTAATCATAATGATAAGAAATAATATATTTTAAAGATAATATACTTGAAAAGATACATTTGATTAACAGACAAAAATATATATATTTGTGCTGATAACATTTTTACTGAAGACTAAAAATATATATATATTATTGTGCTGATAACATTTTTACTGAAGACAAGCGACTCTTTTTGAGGCTTGTTTCCAGGTGATTGAAGCAGCGTGACAAAAATCTCTCTCCTCAATAACGAGGTGAAAAAAATAAAAACACCAAAAACAAGCAGCTTCACCTGTTATTATACAGAGACAAAAAAACCCCAGTTCCTCTGCAGTTATCACATCCACCTGACTGCACTTAGAAAAGAGTTTTGGCACTTGTTAAACACACCACATCCCTGGGACTCAAACCCTCAATCCCAGGGATAACGTACCTGATCCTTTAAGCACTAGGCCGCCGCACCAAAACTAAAGGTCTCTCTGTCTGCTAGGGGGTTAAACCCGTGGGTCCTTGAAGGACATGTAAGTCTGACATCACCACGGACCAGAACGCCACACGTCACTGTGTTTGTGATCACGTCGCAGCTCTGCACATCTGCAGCCGTCAGTGGCACGACTGCCTGCCGTAATCAAGCACCAGGGTTTGGAGAGAGAGAGAGAGAAACCACGAGAACACTCCACAGTCGGCCACTCCACGCACTAATCAGCTGGAGTGGACGCGTATCGCCTCCACGTCCGCTGTGTTTGGTTAGCACATCATGGATACGAGCCGCGGCCCAGGAATCATCCTGATGACATCAGCAGATACGCGGTGAAAAGGATGATTCCTGCCGCGTCTGTTGGTAAAATAAAGTGCTGCATGCAAATTGAAAGTCGAAAGTATTATTAGAAGGAGTGTTTTGGGGGTTTTTTTCCGACTGAACTCATTTCCCGGTGGATCAGTGAAGATTTATCTGCCCACCTAGGTGTTGCTGTTTTACAACTAAGGAATCCATTTGGGAATTACACAAAAAACCACACACACACACACACACTATTGTTCATAACAATCACTACATTCATGTTTTCAGGTCCAGGTCATTTGCTTTGGGTTATTGATAAAGTGGACATAGAGCTGGAGGAGGGGGGGACGGAGGGACGGAGGGGTCAGAAATGAGTCGTAGCTCAGGGTAAATATGAAGTAAAAACTGTTTGAATGAAAGTTTGAAACAAATACCACTGTAGAAGTAGGTATAGAAGAACAGACACTGACCCTCAAACATCAAGCTTTAAATTCTCCTAATATTGGATGAAATGTATTTAATGTCACTACAAGGTGAATCAGAGGTTGATGAAGGTGAAAGAGAAAAGAGAAGAGGAATAAAGTTTAGATCATTCTGCAGCAAAACTTATGAACGTATGAAAGGGTTTGGGGTGGGGGGGCAGAGGGGGTGGACAGAAGGGACAAAAAGAAAAATGATATTTTAGCCCAGCAATACATTAAAGTAAAGGTATAAATATGCTGGAGGACGGTGTGTTTTATGTGATAAATGTATTTATCACCTTCAGATCCACATACATAAATACATAAACACAAACAAACACTATATACTGTACATAAATACACAATGCACCGAACACTATTAGAAACCAGTGAGTCTGACCTGATTAAAAGCCATTTGTTAAACTAGAGAAAGGGATTAAAGGAGAGTTCTGAATCCACTGTAGCCAGGAATCATGAAAGATTCTAAATTTATCCACACAAACTGTATATGCAAATTGGTGCCGGGGAAAAAAAAATAAGACAGAAAAGACAAAAGGACACAGAGTCCAGTGTAAATGGGCGTGTGCAGGAGCTGTCAAGCCTTTATATCTGTCTCCAGAAAGAAAAAAGACGTCCTTTTATCATTCAGATGAGTGCAAAACACCACACAAGACATTAAAAAAAAGGTAGGGCAGTTGTGATTAGAGAGAGAGGACGATAGAGATGAGAAAGAGAGAGCCACAAAGGGAGAGAGGAGGGTGGTGGGGCACGAGGAGGGGAGAGCGAGGGGGAGAGAGAGAGAGAGCGAGAGCAGGACCCACACGCTGTAGTTCCAGCCAATTGCATTCCAGAGAAGTGACCACGGCCGGTGATAAACAAAGCATCATAGATCATTCCTGCCTCAGACGGAGAGCAGGGCTGCAGGCAGCGAGAGAGAGAGGGAGAGGGAGAGGGAGAGAGACGGAGGGAGACGGAGAGGTAGATAGGAGAAGAGACAAAAGACAAAAAGCTCACCACCTTTATCCATCTGCCCACTGCCATCCTCCGGTGACACATTCGCTGCCACCCTCAGCAAACCATGCAACGTGAAATCCAACTGAACTGCACTTCACTGCACCTCCACACTCAAGCAGAGTGAGAACGCAGAGAAAGAGATGAATAAAGAGAGAGGGGGGGAGGGGGGAGGGAGAGACGGAGGAGTGCTGCCACTTGTCCTGATGTATTTAATAATAATTTTTTTTTTTTTTAAAAGAAGCCCTTCAATTGTTCCCATTTTCATAGGAGAACAGGAGCGAGCACTTACCCTAATCCCAGACACAAGAGTGAGAGTCAGTGTTGGATAACTCAGATATTTTCCCCCAGAAAATAGACATGCAAAGAGGAGCATGGAGTGAAGTGAGCTTCTCCCTCTTTTGTTTGCAGCCAGGTTTTCTGGATTTGCATCAGCCAGCTTTTTCTTTTTTTTTTTTCCCATTACAGCTTTGAAGCAGGTGGATGACAAAAACATCAATCTCTACAAGCACACGCTGTGGCTGTGTGTGAGTGTGTATTATGTGTGGCAGATCTGCACAACATAAATACCCATATCTTAATCTGTCCGTTCCATATATTATTGTACATTTTTTGAACAAGTATACGGTGATGGGTGGAAAGAAATACCAGTAGACGTGGAGGAGTGTACCTCTCCTAATTATAACATGACTGCAAAGAGTTACACAATGAGCTTTAATTTCATTTTTGTTTTATAATTTTAACTTATAGAACGTTTGCAGGATTAAAATCATATTTTGGATCAACTGGAACTGATCTTTTAGGAAAACCCTAAAAGCAGAAAAATGTTACTTAAACAGTTAAAAAAGGGAAATGAATTATGTTGGTATCTTCAAAAAGGAAAGTTAGAGCTGGAGCTAAATATATTTAATACACTTCAGAATTTACAAAACCAGAAAAATGTTACTTGAACAGTTAAAAAAGGGAAATTAATTATGTTGGTATCTTCAAAGAGGAAAGTTAGAGCTGGAGCTAATAGTCTAAAAAATATATTTAATACACTTCAGAATTTAAAAATTTAAGAAAAGTGAAACGATATTTGGAATGTCACAGCCATCGCCTCAGCTAAACAAAGTTTCACTCAAACGTCATATACGAACGTATACGGAATTCCGACGTTTTCACCAGTACCCGAAGGCAACATTGTGACGTCAGCGCGTAAAGAGGGAAGTTTGGTTTTGTTTTGATTCCGTAGCTGACAGCGCTAATGCTAACTCTCTGCTGTCTTTCTAAAGTTCGCGTTTATTCAAAGTTTGGTTTATTTCTAAGACTATAACTTTTTTTTTAGACTCACTGAATCGCAGCATTTCCTTTAGGAGTTAAACATTATCAACCTTAACTAAATGTAAAACGATGGAGAGTTCACTGGTGAAAGAAAACCCTTTGCTTTTGCCTTTTGACGTGGAGAAAACCATTTATGACGGATTCGTCACAGTCCAGGTAACTAAAATGTTTTAAAACTTTTTATGATTCTTGAAAAAAAAACACTTTCTTCACGGGGTTCGGCTCTGGTACTATATGCATTCTGTCATGTACAGTACAGCAACAATTGGCTTTAAACAGTCATTGGTTTTTAAGTATTATCTTTACTCACGTCAAACTGAACAGTTATGTTAAACTATTTTAATATGATGTAAAGTGTAAAATAAACTGTAAACATATTCCGTCTAAAAGGCAGATAAACCTTCAATTGCATCTCATTATGGCCATACTGTAATAGTTTAACAGCCAATAATAAAATGCTAAATAATCAGCAGCATTTTCTCACCAGCTGTCATGTATTTTTACATTTAACATGGTTTGTATTTCTTTAAGGACTCAACTCAACTGTTAATAATATATTATGAAAGTGGAGAATGGGACTTAAGTCATTATTTTCCATCAAATGTCATGTTTGAGCTGCACTCACATTTTGTTTTGTTTCGTTTCACGTGTTTGACCAGGAACGTGACTTCAGATTAAGAATACTGCTGCCACCAGACCGACAACTGAAGAAGGCCAAGTATGAAAGATCACGTCACCTTCTTGAGAGAAGAACACCTACACGTAGTCCAACTATAGTGTCAGAATAGAGAGGCTTTACATTGCGTGTCACATTATAATTTTTTTAAATGACTTGAATGCACAGAAATGCCTACAAAATGAAAATTATCCAACTGATATAAACACGCTAAAAAAAGCAGCTTTAGCCAAGCACCTACTATTTACCTGCAATTTTGCAAAGTAAAAAAGTTGCAGATTTTTCTCTGCAGAGTTTGGTTTCAGAATGATTCATTTTCGATTGACGTTAATTGTTTGAATTTGACATTGACTGTATGAACTCCTTGTACGTCCGTCCCAGGCTTCACTGCAGCTGGCATTTAAGACACCTGTTGCGTGGATCGGAGCACATAGTGAAGCAGGTAAACTACGCAGAACTTGCCGACTGTTTTCGTCCTAACTTTGTTTTTCGTACCATCGTGTCAGCCAGCCTTGATTGAGACGCCGTTGATCGCTCTGTTTATTCATTTATTTGCTTATTTGTCATGTCATTTTTGGCTCCTTTCATGTTGGCAGCGTTGTGCCAGACGCTGCTCTGTCACCCTTGTTATATGAGCTCGCCTCACTCTGAAAGCAGAGGAAAAATATTTTTCACTGTTTAATTAACATCGCCTGGAAAATTTGTTATGTGGGCCCTCGGGGTTATTTGGATGAGATTGATATTTCACCCCGGGCTGCAAAGTTCATTATTTTCACAGCCTTTAAGCTATCATTAATTATTAAAGCTGGTGGCAGCCCCCATTAATCACAAACTGTGCTGTGTTTGATTTGAATGGCTGGCTGGAGGAAGGAGGAGGAGGGGGAAAAAAAGTAAGACACTGTCACTTCATTATCCTCACATTCACACAAGATGACTTTTTTTTTACTCTTCTCTTTGACTTCTAACAGAGGCTGCAGCAGTCGACCAATCTCGAGAGTTTTTTGCTGGAGCTGAAGACGATTTTGGTGAGTCGGAAAATGGCACGATACCCGTAGTCGTGTTAAGAAAGACTCACGTGATCCATTTTAAATGTGCATCATATGAATGTTTCATGTGATGCTGCAGGAATGTCCTTGGTAATTTGGACTAGAACTAAAAAAAAAAAAAAAAAAAAACTTTTTGTGGGATGTTGCAGGAAGTGGTTCTGAAGGGCCGTTCCGAGTGCAGCTCCATTCCGCCTCCTCAGTATTACTCACAGCTCATCTCTGAGATGGAGACCCTTGGGTGGAACAAGTAAGTGGGCCTCCAGGAGCAATAATGCCAGTTTTAAAAAATGAGCACCAGACAAATGCTCATTGTTTGTTAGCCCTTCACGTCACCTTGAGACACACGGTGGAAAATGTGACTTGTTTATTATTTAAAAATCATTTCATGATCTGTAACATTCCACACTGCAGTGACTGAAGCTGTTTCTTCTTCTTCTTTCTCTTCTTATTCTCTCACTCTACTTCTTCACCTTTTATTAATATTTTATCTGCCATAATTTTTTTCTTCTTCCTAATATTTTCCTTTTTTGATCTTTCTTCCTCTTTCTTCCTGTCTGGCTGCTTCAACATTGAACATGAAGACGTTCAGATGGTCTGACATGCGGTTGTTGTTGGACATAAGACTTTTAGATAATTAGACCAAAAGATAATGACAAAAACGAAGGTGAGGAGACGGTTTCACGTTGGGATGGTCGGATGGACGGCCATGGGAACAGTCGGATTTTCAAACTTGTGGACGAGTGTCTTCTTCTGCATTTTGTTATATGATAAACACATTAACTTTCTGTACTTTCTTTTAAACTGAAGTAGAACCAAACAGGCTTTATTTTTTACTGCATATACTCGTTGCTCCAGAGCCCAGATGTACTTGAACTGTTGAAAAGACATCAAATCTCTTTAGAGCAGTCCTTGACTCCTCTCCCTCCTCTCTGCTCTGAAGTGCCTGTAACCGCACAGCTTCACATCAACACCTTTCTTTGAGCCACTTCCTTATTTTTAGTTATTGAGTTACAGCTAAATCCAGGTTAGATTTAATAACTCTCGGGCCATGTGTGATGACAGGCTCGACTAATGCTGTTGTCTCCACTCATCAGCAGTGAAGGAGGGAGGGAGGGAGGGAGGGAGAGAGGGATGGATGTGTTCTTCTTTTTTTGCTTGGATTAAGCCTTGACTCATTTTCCACTTTCCTATTAATGACCGCGGCTACAATTACGATATTAGCCAAATGCAAATGGCTCTAATTGAAGAGTCTGGGGTTTTAACAGAAGAGGAGGTGAAGGTGTTTAAGGCTCTGTGCTGGAAATGAGACCAACAGCATCTTCAGTGTGGTGTTACTGAGAGGAGGAGACATTTTACACAGTCAACCTTAATCTCCAAAGCACTCCAGTTTAGCTTGACGTCTTTTAATTTGCACCGGCCGTGTTAATAGCCACCAGGGTTTTTTTCCCCGGCAGTAACCCTCTTCGTCTGATTGGCTCAGGTGAGCGAGTTGCTTTTGCTCCGTCCACATTTTGAGAGCATGGTCATTTTAATTGGCTGGAGAAGTTAACTAATGGATAGTGAGATCAAGTCGGTCAGCCATCGTCACGCGGCTCTCCAGGAATATCCAGGGTTTATTATGGGCTCGGACCTCATGTTTACAGCCCTCTGGGGTAAGAACCAGGGTAGACGTGGTGCTGCAGTCGAGGAGTTTCCTTCAGTAACCGCTGTAGGGAACGACAGAGTCCATTCTGCTGATCCCAGTGGTTATGAACCCCATTGTCAACAAACAAACAGAGGAAAAAAAAAAAGTCCTCTTCAGATACAAACATGCACATATGTGCCTGGTGTGCACGGCCTGGAAGCAGATCACTTGGCTGGGAAATTTGCAAATAGGAAGCTCTCATCAGTCTTCCCAGCAGGACATCTGACCGTCGTGCTGTTTCCATCATGGCTCAGTAGGGGGCAGCAGCCAGTCCCAGCCTTACTGGCACAAAACTTCAGAAAAGGGGAGATGGAGAATCCGTTGCGTTAGCGATCAATTGATGACCTTTAGTTCAGTCAAAGTTGTTTGTACTTTGAGATCCAGAAACTCCACAACAACCGTGGCTTCATACAGTTGTTGAATTTGAGCAGACGAGGAACAAAGTGACAATTTCCCAAAAATACAACTGAAACTAAAATGACATTGACGGACGGGACATGACGTACAAATGAATATTTTTGTCTACATCTGTCCATGTTTGTGTTTTTATATACTTTAATTCAGGAATCTTCACATTAAAACTGTAGCATTTTTTCATCTTTGGGATAAAATTTAATCGCTAATCATCTAAATGCTGATTGTCACAGAAGAAGAAAGAAAGAAAGAAAGAAAAGACAGTTGAGACGCAGTCGTGTTTCCTCACTCGTGCTGCTAATTCTGAAGAATTAATGACAGCAGCAAGACAGAGGAGCAGAGGAGCAGAAAAACATTCATCAGGTCAGACTGCAGAGAAGCTGCCATTAATTAAATTGGCCCAATGGTGGCGATGTCATGAGTTGCCACATTCACCACACTTCAGTGGCGTCGTCCTTCTCTGACGCTCACACCTCAAGAATGTGAAAGAGCAAAAGGCGAATCCGACGCAGTCTCCCATCGTTCCATCACTTCCCTAACTGTGTGTGTGTGTGTGTGTGTGTGTGTGCAGGTGTCATCCGTGAGCGCTGCGCTTACATCACTCCCCCCCGACTCCACTACATAAATCCTCAGCATATATACGAGGGTGTCAGCCTGAGCGCAGCGGCCATCATAATGCACTGTAAATCTGGAGGAGTGCCGTTTGAATCCTTTGTCTCACTTCAGTGTTTTGTCTCATCGCAGCGGTGAGAGACTGAGCTGCAGTAAATCTGACCGCTGTGGATACAGTCTGAGGCCTGATCAGTGTTTCTGTCCTCGGCATCAGTGGCTTTTAATTAGTTTGGAATGGGGCGCTTTGATTTATGAGAAGAACGAGTCGGAAAATGTAGGTACAGTCGGTGGTATCCAGAGAAGAAAAAAAGAGTTGATAGTTGAGCTGTTGTCTCCAAGTCATCATTCATATCTGTCAGGTGTAGAAGTGAGGATGGACCGGAGCCGTGGGAACAACATGATCACTGCACTTATTTAAAAACCAATTATTTGAGGGTCTTGTTTGGAGGAGCATGTCCTGTTCTGAGCACCTGGTCTCTGCAGCGGCTGTAATCTGACGTTGTTACTACAGTCTGTTACACTGGCCTTAATGTAATCCACACTCATTTATTCACCCATTATTTCTACAGGGAAAATACTTAATACTTAACAGTACTAATTTAAACCGCAGAGTCGAATACAATTAGGATTGATTTAAATAAACAAATGTATTTAAATACAAATTGTCATATGAATGTCACGTGTTTAATCAAATATATCTGACTTTATTACAGCTGTTTGTCGAAGGCGTCTCTGTTTACTGCTTGATTGTATTATGTCACGAAGGCCGCGTTTACACGGCGAGCTCCCGTTACACGCCGGTGTCCTGTACATGTAGTCGTCGTGTGTGTGTGTGTGTCCACAGAGTTTTATTAGAAAGCATAAAACCGTCAGTCTTTCCTTTTATTTTTCTGGTGACTCAGCGTGAAAAAGCTCTCAGCCTGGACATGATTTAGTTTGTTATATTCTTCCATTAAATCATTAATAGCGCGGCGGCTCCAGAGGAATGCTAATCAGAATAAAGAGGGTTGGAGGGGCCGAGAGAAAAGGCCTGTTAGTCGCTGGATTTTTTTGGTGTAATTGAATGTAACCTGATGTCACTGGGTCGGCAGCCAAGGTCATAAATCTGAAGTCGACTTGATGTTTCAATATGGCTGTGGGCTGCTGTGATTAATGATGGATGATGGCTGTTGTCAGAGTGTGCGCCGCGGTGCGGTGTTGTGTTATGTTGTGTGCAGCCTTCTGTTTGAACGGACGCTGATTTATTATGTGTGTGTTTGTGTCAGGTTGCTTTTCATAGACACGCACTTCAAGACGCTGAGACTAACGGCGCAGGACTCCGCAGGACGGCAGCACGCGCTCACCGTTAAACTCAAGTCCAAGGTAAGATGGCGTTTGGCCCCTGTAACTGTCACGACAACCACAGACACAACCAAACCACAGTGCAGTTCTGTAGTTCTCACTCTGGGCTGGTCAATAAACAGAAGTTCTGGTTCTCCACTTGAAGTCGTGGGCGGCACCAGACCATTTCACCAGTTCATTTCTGAACCTTTTTGTCACAAATCCTTTGTACTACTGTTGTACTGTAGTACAGTTAAAGTAATATCCCACAGAGTTATTTACTCTACTTTTGCCTCTTTAAACCACTGCTCATCAAACCCTGGTCTGAATGGAGGGTGCAGCAGCAGCAGCAGCAGCAGCAGCAGCAGCAGCAGCAGCAGCTCTGGTTCCAGGTACATGGTGGGTGGACAGGGTGGTGAGCTGCTGCCTGCCTAAGCCTGACTGACATCCACCAGGGACAAGGAAGGGTACAGTGGGACCTCACTCTGTGCCCACCTGCCCACCCTCGCCCCTCTGGCACCAGGTAAAAAAAACCTGGAGCCAGCCCCAGGTTCCAGCTGCTTCCATCGGATGCAGCGCCAGGTCATCCCTCACCAGGCACAGTGAGGGAGGGAGAAGGCAGCACTGGCAGGGACTCAGTGGCAGGGAGGAGGTGAGGACAGAGAGGAGGGAGACAATGAAGGTGAAAAGAGAGAGAAACTCCAGCTCCTCGTGTCCTGAAAAAGTTTACGATCCAGGACTTTTACGGAAGCTTTCAGCGTTCCTCCTGATATGATGGAGATACTGAGAAGCTGACTGACAAGGAGGTGGCAGGAGACTTCAGATGTTCAGGAGATACAAAGTCGACTTGAGGTGAACCTCCATCAACACTGACTTTATGAAGAACTTCTGTCTCCTGTGCCAAGGTCCATAGGCTCCAACCCTCATATGACACAGACTGCTGATAAATGACTGCAGTGTTTGAGAAGTCTCTGTTATTGAGATAAGTCTCTACAAACTATGAAACAACACACACGTCAAACAGTCACACGTTTTTTGTTTTCACACAGAACTCATGTGTGTGTTAAGATGTTGACTCTGTAACGGACTTCAGTCAGAGACTGTGTTTTCACATGTGTGTTAAGATGTTGACTCTGTAACGTCCGTCTCTGTCTCCACAGCATCCTGCAGAAGCCCCTGAGTGTTCAGCCGACCTGCCGCTGCCGCTGGCTTTGACTTGGACTCAACAGGTACGAGTTTCTATTAAAAGATCGTTTCTAAGAAACTTTGTGTCTTCCATTATCTCTGTTAGCCTTCGTCAACACACAACACACACCAGCGTTTAATGTCAAGGTGAAATCAGCAACTCCTTCAACTTCAAATGGAAACGTCTTCACTAATGTACGTCACGTTTTTCTTTTTTCCACATCCATACATTTGACCTGTTTCAGCTGTTCTGCTACATTAGGAATAATCCTATGTGCTGCCCCCTGGGGGTTGTTAATAGATGAAGTCACGTTCACTCCAGTTTTCTACCATTACACCTGCCGTACAGACGAGTGGTGTGTGTTTCCTTCCACTCCCTCTCGTCCACTTTAACAGCAGCTAAAGTGTTTGGTTGTAAAAGCAGCTGTGAGCTGCTCTGATCTCTGATTTCTCTCTTCATTTTTTTATTTTTTTATTTTTTTTCTTCTTCTTCCGTCGCCTCCTTGTTATTGTTGTTTGCCGTCTCGCTTCTTTCACTTCAACTCTGCTTTTTATCTCTGCCACTGCCTCTGAGGCTGTGTGTCAGTTACTGGCTGTCACACACACACACACACACACACACACACAGATGTCTGATTTTGTTTTATACAGTCACAGAGACGCTTTGTCAATCATTAAAACAACTGCGCCATATCTGAGCATTCATTTAATAGTGTGTGTGTGTGTGTGTGTGTGTGTGTGTGTGTGTGTGTGTGGTTGAACTGATACATGGCAGGCGTACAGTGAGGACCAGCTCAGAACAGCGCTGCCGTATGGAGCCTGTCTGCCTGCTGTGCTGTTGATGGATCTCTCACACACTGCGACATGAAGTTTGTGTGTGTGCTTAGTGCCAAAGTGTGTGTGTGTGTGTGAAGTGTGCTGCATACTGAGAGTGTGTGTGTGTGTGGTGGGGGGGGGGGGGGGCAGGGCTTGTCTGTCTTCAGCCCTGACATGTTCATTTGAATGAGTAATTATTGCTTGCTCTGTTGCAGGGCCAAGACGTGCCACTCTGAGCGTTTGTGTGGAACTAGAATAGAACGAAAAAACAACTGTGTGTGTCTGTGTGTGTGTGTGTGTTTAGTCTGTGTCCTTTGTAGCAGCAGTAGAATATGAAAGGATTTTTATTCAAACCACCAAAACCTGTCCGTATTAAAATCCTGATTCACTGAATGAATGAATGTGAGAAATCACAGATTAAAGGCTAAAACAACAATCACCACATTTTTATATTTTTTTGATGCAGATGAACCGGCTGCTAGTTTTATTAATTAAAATTAACACGCAATCATTTCCTCTCCGTTCTTGAGGGAGAGCCGCGGTGGCTTTCACTTTTCATGATTAAATATTTCACTTCTAACGACTGAGGGGAGAAGGGGGAGAGGCTTGGCCTCAGAGGGTTGGAGTCTGGAGTCGACTGATGCAGAATGCATGTTTTTGCACTGACACCATATGTGTGTGATAATAATTTGTCATCAAATTTAGCTTTGCATTTAGAACAAACAACATCATTAGATCATGACAGACAAGCGGTCCGTACCATTCAGTGTGTTTCAGTAAAGCTTTTAAAACAAACTTAACCAAAATGTAAGCACAGATTCTCTGTCCTTATTACACCCTATCATTAAACTGTCTTTCCATCTAATGCTTTGAGGCAATAACGTCACCAAAAGATAGCAGTAAAGTTTGCAAAGTGATTCCCAAAAGAAAAGCTTAAAGTTTCGCCATAAAATGTTGAAGAATAGATCAGAATGTGCTCAAAGTTAGCCGAGGAATTGCATTGGAGGTAAATATAAATGCTTCTAAGGAAAACATGAGTATAAAAGATTTTGTTAAAAATTCACACGATCGATTTACTGTGCAGTTCAGTGAAAATCTTAGTTTAAAGTATCCCAGTATTTCAGAGTATTTGCACAAAAGTCCTTGGTAAAGGAGAAGCTCTACTAAGGAATATCACTGAGAATCAATTCCAGTAACTACTGTATGTAAAAACATTTGTATCAGTCACTTCACCTGGTTCTTCCACACCAGAGAAGTCGTTTTCAGACAAAGTGAACTCGGTCAGATGACCACGGAGGAACCCTCGGATCAGACTAAAAAAGAAAATCTTGAATACTTCCTTCCAGCCCGTCCACACTTCACTCATGTTCTTCTCTCAGACACATCAGGAAATTTAATTACCACCTGTTCTCCCTTCTTCTCCCACTGAACTGGGCTTAGCATACTTATCCTTAGCTCTAACCGCAATCATGCCACCGGCATTAATTGGGCTGTAATTGCAGAGGCTCTCAGCACCTGGACGATGCTTAATTGTGTGCACTGTGCTGGCACAATGACCCATAATTTTTGGTTCACCCCCCCACTCCTCCCCCCACTAATCTCTTCCTTCACATTCCATCCGTATGTGCTCTCCCACACCTCCATCAACATTCCTTTCTCTCGGCGGCCTGTCACGTGACCCGGTCATCGCTACACTGTCAAGAGTGGACAAAGAGAAACTTAGTAAACTCTCAGGGAAGAAATAACAAAGTTGGATCTTGAAAGTCCAGGTGGCACTGGGTGGACATTGAAGTGGTGAAGGTGAATGTCAGAACACAGAAGGATGGTCTGAAGGTGGCAATGACAGCAACTGCTACTGTTGATCAAGTTTGGAATTCAAAGTAATCAGGCAGGATGGAGTCGGTTAGTGATGATGATCCACAGGATGTTAGAGACGCAGCTGCCAACCAGGGCGAAAGGGTGAAGAACTGAGGAACAGGTAACAGACGTAGTGAAGACAGTGGAGGATGTAGGGCTACAGCGCCTCCTGGAGGAAGCAGCCAATCGAAAAAAGAAGTGAAAGAGTTGTTTGAATCATAAGAGGTGATCAATTAAACTTTGGTTTGATTGGTTACCGACTAATCCACAAGTTATTTTGCATCAGAAACATAAGTGTCATTTCTCCTCCTGCAGAGCACTCTGGAGCACCTCTACAGCCAGTTCCTGCTGGTCCTGGAGTCTCTGACGGAGTTCTGGGAAATCCTTGATGAGATTGACCTCAACACATGGGTCCTGGAGCCAGAAAAGCCCAGTCGCTCGGACACCATGAGGAGGATTGCAATCGGTAAAGTGTAAAAGTGCTGATACAGAACTGAAAAGAAAAGTGATTTAAAAAAAAACACATCCTTGGAGTGGGTTCATTTCTGTGTCCGTGTCTACAGGAAGCAACGCGTCCATCAGAGTGGAGGTGGATCCCAGACACCCCAAGATGCTGCCAGAGTGCTGCCTGCTGGGAGCTGAGCACAGTGAGTCTGGACCACAACACACCTGAACACAGCAGGTGTCGAAGAGAGAAACACACACCTGTGACCAGGTGGAGTGGGACAGTGGTGACCTCTACAACTGAAGGCACACACGGGGTCAAAGGTTAAGAAATCAGAGAGGGACAAGAGTGTGAGACCAGTCTGAATCTGAGTCTGAATCAGAGTCTGAATCAGAGTCTGAATCAGAGTCTGAATCAGAGTCTGAATCAGAGTCTGAATCAGAGTCTGAATCAGAGTCTGAATCAGAGTCTGAATCAGAGTCTGAATCAGAGTCTGAATCAGAGTCTGAATCAGAGTCTGAATCGTTGACCTCATTTTTATCTGTGGTCTGTTCGATGAAATACTGTTCTTTATAAAAACCTGTCCGTTACGTTTCATTCAAACTCCTCTCCTTCCTGCTGCAGTTGTGACTCCACTCAGGAACAAACTGAACAGCAACATGCACCTGTGGTAAGGACAATATCTTCATAATCTGTGTACACATGGGACGGTTTTCACTCAGCAGAGGGTGATTCAAGCCGCGGTTCACCTGAGGTCCTGACAGTAACATTGAAGCCCACAAAAATATCACAGCGTGTTCCTGCCAAACAGTAGCAGTTTTTAACACATATTCAGCCAAAACTACACAGTACAACGAAGTAACAACCACTGACACTCGAATACAACTCTGAAAATACACAGAAAGTACACAAGAACATACAACAGCTGTATTCTTTCAGTAACTCCTGATGGGAATTAGGGTAGGGATTCCCACACGTACCACTAGGGGAAACTCAAGTACCACCCAGTGTAGAGAGCCATAGTCTGAGAACCACTAGTTCAAGAACAACATTTTTCCATTGTCTGCTGCTGCTGCTGTCATTATTTTTTTTCACATATTACATCATCGATGCAACTAAGTTTGTCTCACAAACCATTAACAAAGTGACACTTTACCAGTCTGACAGTTACAGTGGTGCACGGTGGAGGCCTGTTGTTAAACTCCACTGTGATTCAGACGTAAACACATGAACAGACTCTGTACTAAAACAATCAGTATCTTTTTATAACCTTAATTCAACAACTGAAATGAAAAAAAATCTGCATTCGTCACCAAACCTCACAACTCGACACAGTTGTTCTTCCTTCTGTCTGAATTGGATTTTTTCATT